TTACGAGTTATTTCAAGAAAAGTGTGGTATGAGAAGAAAGAGGACAATCTGTAGCGTGCAGTGGTATGGTTGGTTTGGTAACGTTACACTCAAAGTTTTGCACAAATCGCAAAATTCGTCCTCCGCAGCGCGCGCCGCGCCGCGCGCCCGTGACGGAGCATCGCCTCAGCCGCGCGGCTGGCGTTGCATACCCCTGGTTGCCTATTCGCACGGGGCCATAAGCAGCCGTTGCGGCTGCGAGCACAGGCTAACCCATCCGCACGCGTGCAAGCGGTACAGTATAACTACGAAAGTGCGCGGCGTGAATCAGCCACCTGGTATGTTTATTAAAAGAATTTAACCAGAGTAAAAACCATTGAAACTATTCGGAAATTCACCAAAGAATTTATTTTACATTGGATTAGTGAGGACTATCAAACAATCGCAAATTAGGAGAAATGAGCTGCCCAAAGGCTACTTGGGATGGAAGTTCAGGCTTTAAATCTGGTGATGTATGGTTAGGTCGGCTTTCCTTGAGCATGCTATTCGTCAAATAAGGTTTGATCTCAATGCCATGAGTTTTGTGTATAGTAGAAACATTTGCACGAGAGAAGGCGTCATCCCTAAAAACCAGTTTGCGCATGGAACTCTTCAAAGAAAGGCCTGTTTCGTTGCACACGTCAAGATTTTAGATTTTCATAGCTTCAGGTGGCTCCAAAAACTATAGAATGGCGTGAGGTCTTAGGATAGCTCTCTACGAAATCAAAATGTGAAATGTTTAGAAAAAACGGCTTCAATGAACTCCGAATTTTCCCAGAGTTAAAACCTGGTATAACCCGTGCACAGAATTGCTACATACAAATATGCACATACGTAACGTACGCACAATTTTGAGCGATGTACAATTTTGTACATATAGTGACGTACAAATTTTGTACGTAGGGTAGGTTATGTGTGTTGACAATTGTGCTACGCACAAAATAGTACATAGTCAATGTGCGAGTACTGAAATATGGGCAAGCTGAAAATATAACACGGACCGTGTCTTTTCGTATTTCTCTTCTTTTTATTCAGAGATTTCGAAATGCAACGGTCGCCTACACGAACGAGTTGCTCTGGAAACCCAAGTGTGTACTTAAATGCAGAATATTATGCATACCTACGTGTATGCAGAATATTCTGTGTACTTGGTCAAGTACAGAGAATATTGTGTGTACTTGGTCAAGTACACACTAAAATCTCCATACATTTATGCAGGAGACTTAGTGTGTACTTGACCAAGTACACACAATATTCTGTGTACTTGACCGAGTACACACAATATTCTGTGTACTTGCCAAGTACACAGAATATTCTGCAATCAAGTACACACTTGGGTTTCCAGAGTGACCGCCAAGGACGTGGCCCTCCAAGCGCAAGAAGCTCACAATCTGCGTCTCTGTGCGACTTTGCCACGACGTTTCAATAACGTAGTGTTGGTCGGCGCCCGGCGCCCCGCCCCTCCACGCTCGGCCGCGCCCCGCACCAGACGCCACACGGCGCGCGAGTCCCTCCCCCTCTAATTGCGAGAGATTACGTCGCGTGCACGCGTGGGCGCGGCGTGCGCACGCGCACCAAACAAATATCAAAGGCATAGGAATTGACGGGTACACAAGACGCATACGGCCGCATGTTTCCGAGCGGGGTGCAAAAGTACCGCACTGCCGCACTGACCCGAGCTCACCACCGTGCGGGCGGCACGTACGCGTCAGGTGCATTGGTAGGGGCAAAACACATTCAAAATGAGAGGAGGAACACAATCAGAAAAGTAAACACTTTGTAAAACTCGGAGTATACCCCGACCTGCGACTTGGCCATAAAAAATGACTCTACCGAACTTGAGGACATTGTCCGAGTTTTGGGGGGAAAGGGGAAAATTATGATGAACTTTGAAGTTTGAGCGAAGCTCGTCGGATTTGGGGCATTTCTCGTCATAAAACTATGGACTCCTTGTTTTATAATTGTACTATTCTTAACAAGGGTTGCAGCGACGCGCATGAAGTGGGGTTTTCATCGTTGGTCTGATACCCAGACGCAGACCAGACGTGGCTGAAAATGCAACAGGTGGTGTTTAACCAAGACGCCCC